CTTTCAATAAAGTCTGGAATATTGACTTTTCCTTAAACTCTCTTCATGTGTTGAAACTGTTATTAAAATAATTAAATCTTTTCTTTCTAAATAAAGTGTCTGATTAAAGTTGTTTATTGGACAATACTCTCCTTCACTTCCAGTAACTTCTGAGGTACCACAAGGTTCCATCCTTGATTCTCAGTTGTTCCTCATTTAAATCACTAATCTTCTACACAATCTTCAATGGTGGACGCTTTTTTATAACAAATTTTATAATTAAAAAAAAAAAAAAAGATAAAGAAAAAAGAATAAAATAAGAAAAATAAATAAAACAAAAATATTGAGAATGAAAAAAAAAAAAAAAAAAAAACATAAAACAAAAAAAAAATTAAAAAAAAAAAGAAAAGAAAAGAAGCGAGAAACAAAAAAAGAAAGACCAAATGTTAAAAACCAAAGTTAAAAGAAAAAAATTCAAAAATGGAAAGTGATTAAAAAGGAATTAAATAAAACAAAAAAATTGCTCCATTTTTGAAGAAAGAAAAAAGAATATTTTTTAAATTTTTTTTTTTTTGAGTGACGATATGTGTTTGCTTTTGATTTACTTTTTTATTTTAATATTTTCATTTATTACGAAAACTCATTTATTACGAAAACTCATTTATTACGAAAACTCATTTATTACGAAAACTCTATACTTTTCGTGACTAAATGTTTGCGTGTGACACGTTTTTATTTGTGAGTGTTATTGAATAATTTGTGTTTTGTTTATTTATTGTTTTTTTATAATGATGCATTCATTTTACTTTTATTGTTTTTATTATGATTATTGATATTAAGATTATTGTATTTATTAAATAATTGTTACTTTTTTTTTGCAGTAATTGTTTTAGTTACATGGTAGGTTGTTACATTTTGTCAGTACATAACTGTTTGTAACTTTCCTGTCTGTGTATTATACTCAATTGTTGTTTTAAAATTGATATTAATTTATTATCATATATTTTTTTTATTATTCTAACAACTTTTAATTTATCATCATTATTATTATCATTATTATTTGTATTATCAATCCTATTTCATGGTATTTACTTAAGATTAGTTTTTAACTATTTGTAAATGACCTCGATTGTAAGATCTTTTATCGAAAAAAATATATTGATATAACCATAAGCAACTTCAAACCTCTAAAAAGGTTTGTTTTTATGTTTATACTAATTTAGGTCTTCTCAATATAACTTTGGTCTCTAAGTAAGTTAACATCACTTATTGCATCAACCAAAAATCTTGATTAATTTTTTACTCAGCATAGTCACATCTTTTTACTGTATCAGTTCTTTCATGGGAAAAGAATGTTTAAAGTTTTTCCTCTTGTACATCAATGCTTTAAAACTTGTTCTTATCTTCATTTCTAACACAATTTACATTTTTTAAAGTCTTCTGACAACCATTTTTTTCCTCTTTGTTTTCTCTAAACTCCCAACTTAAATAGTGGTTTTTACATTTCAAAAATTGCTTTAACAAAAAAATACATAAACAACTTTCACCAACCTCAATATAAGCTTTGATTAGTTTTTATATTACCACTTCTCCTAGATCTACATAACTAGGCGACTCAGTTGGTCACCTATTATATACCTAAACTTTTATTAATGATGTTTCAGTAAGGGTTGACTTTTTTGATCAAATTTTTATTTTAGTTAAATTAATTGACCAAATGTGAAGCTAACAGATTTCTAACACACTTTATATTCTTGTACTTCTTTATCATCAACTGCAGCTCAATTCTATAACTTTTCTATTTCTCACTGTTTGTTTAATATTTAATTACAAGAATTTGTAGATCATTACTGCGTTTTATCATTACTTAAGCACTATGTTAAAAAAAATTAGCGATACTACACAAGTATTTATCTATTTTTAGAAACTTGGATGCAATAGAAAATATTTTATAATACTTTAACTATTTTCATAATCAAACATTATGAGGTCTATCAGAGAAGTAAAAAAAATTTGTCAGCTGCTAAATATCTTCTTATTTATTTACATTTGAAAAATGTCATAAAATGAAACTTTTATTCTAACAAAGTGTAAAGTTTAAAAATTTACTCTATATATATGTATATATATATAAATGTATATATATATATATATATATATATATATATATATATATATATATATATATATATATATATATATATATATATATATATATATATATATATATATATATATATATATATAATACGGTTATATATAATATAATTGTACTGTTACAGTTATATATATATATTACGGTTATATATAGTATAATATGGTTATATATATATATATATATATATATATATATATATATATATATATATATATATATATAATATATATATATATATATATATATATATATATATATATCTATATATATATATATAATATATATATATATATATATATATATATATATATATATATATATATATATATATATATATATATATATATATATATATATATATATATATATATATATATATATATATATATATATATATGTATATATAATACGGCTTTCCTCTCACTGACTTGCTAACTGTTGTGACTGAAAGATTTTATTGTGCAAAGAGCGCGGCAATTCATTTTTTTTTTAATAAGCATAGATGTTCGAATCTTTATTTATTGATGAATGTCTAATTTAAGAAGTGTATGTCAAATAATGGAGCTTTATTTTCAAATAATTTTTTTAGTCAAATAATCCTTTATTAAATTATATGGGAATTTAAATTTCAAATAACTTTTATTTTAGTTTATAAGTTATTAGATATATACAAAGTAGTGCAGTGAATTGGTGCAAACTTTGTGCTATATAGGGTTAAAGCATAAAACATGGTGGACATGTTGATAAAGTTAAAACATTCGTTTTAAGACTCAGACCCACTTTCAAAAAGACCATAGATGGTCTCTATCTATGGGCTTTTTGATGGAAACTAGCACCTGTCTAAAACAACAATTTTTTTTTTTTTTTTTAAATCTAAAAATTTATACATAAATCGAAAGCTCAATAAAAATGAAGCAAAAAAAAATAAAAACACTCTATAAAAAAATTTAACTGCTAACAATTTAGAGGGCTTTAAAACGCTATGAATCCAGGGGGTAAAAAAGATATAAAGTATTGCACGCAAAAATAAATTACAGTTATTTTTTTTTATGACATTGTGCAAAATTTTAAACAATATGTTATTTATTTAAAATATAAAATAATTTTATTTTTTTATTCTTTCTAATAAAAAAAACAGTTTGATAAGACAATTAAGCCCATAGTACTTTCCCTCTAAAATTATTAAAAAATTGATTAATTCCTTAAAACATGTTTGGAATATGAAAAGAGATTTTTTTTTTCAATGCAATTGTTCTATCAATCCCATGGGGCTGGTTTTAAGTGGTTTGCATGCTTTATTTTGTTTTAACTTGTCACAAAACTCTTTTGTGTACATACAAAATTCTGCATTCGGCATGACAACTTGTAAGAAATAAAAGTGATTTTTTTCTATGATTTATTTTGTAATTCTATTTTGTAATTGTATTTAGTATGTAAATTTAATATGTTTTTAAGGAAATTTTAGAGATCATACAATTTAAAATAGAAAAATATAGAAAATAAAGTAAAAAAATCTGCATTTAAAGTAAGGCATTTAAATGCAGATTTATATTAATTTTCATTAATTGTCTTGAACTGGTAATTATTTTTTCAGGTAAAGACCACTGAGAATTTAATTTTTCCAGGGAATCTTAAAAGAAAAAACCAAAATTTTAGAGCTACAAATGAAAAAGTTGCCATTACCATAGAAAAATTTGAATAAATAGGCAAGTTACCAATTACAATATTATTTGATAATGTAGATACAAATACTCTAATGAATAAATTTATTTAGCATGATGCAAAGTTTCATAAGTTGTGTAATAATAAATTTAGCAATGAAATTATGAATTTGAAAATTATGAAATTATAAAGATATGAATTTTGTGAAAATTATGAAATTATGAAGATATGAATTTAGAAAGAGCTGAAAAACATGTACTACTAAACCAACTAGAGTAAAAGAAGAAAGATGATGGTGTTGAGCATAATTTTTGTTCAATCAATTAGCTCCCAAGTAAGAGAACTTCTTTAAGAGCAGCTTGTAAAATCATTTTGAAATGTTTTTTCTGTGAAAGCTCTGGCGATGCACTTTATCCGGTTTCAACATTTAAATTAGAAAAACGTGTTATTAAATGCGCCACTATCCTTGAAGATAGTACTTTATTAGGGAAGCTTAGTGCTGGTGACATAATAGCCCAAGATGCTACGTACCACTCTACTTGTTTGCTAAGTCTCTATAGAAGATCTAAAAGAAAAGATTCCGATAAAATGTCATGCAATACTTCTGAAAAACAAAAAAATTGCCAGGTTCTTGCTGAATTGAAACAGAATATGATACAAGAAGCAAAGTGTAAAGATAATCATGTCTTTAAATTAGTTGACCTTGCTAAAATATACCAAAAAAGGTTACTGAACTTAGTGGAAACACTTCTCAAAGGATCCATACAACAAAATTAAAGAAAAGATTGTTAGCGCTTGTAGAAAATCTAAGAGAGTAGAGTGAAAAAGTTTTATTACTTATCATTTGACAAAAATGTTGGAAATGTTTTGAAGAATTGTTATAAAAGGAAATATGAAGACGAATCTTTCATATTATCTGAAGCAGCTGAAGTCTTGCAACGAGATAATCTCGCAAATCAAATTTATGACTTCAACAGTAATTTTTCACAAAAATAACTGTTGAAGTTATTTTTGTTAACTGGTTGCTGAAGGCATTTGTTCCTGCATCTTTAAAGTCATTTGTTGACATGGTTTAGAACAAAAAACTTTAAAAATTAGTCAATTGATAATTCACAATAGTATGAAACGTGTTTGTCAAAATCAACAAAAAACCCAATCAATTCAAAAAAACACAAAAATCTCAAGAAAGTCCCATAAGTATTTATGTAGGCATCATGATTCATACGAAAACTAGCAAAAACACTCTTGCTGATAAACTTTATAAACTTGGGATATCAATATCTTATAACCAAGTTATGGAATTATCAACACAAATGAGTATCTGGTGGACACAAAAAAATCTGGTCAACTTTAAATTGAGATTTCTCTAAAATCACAAATGCTTTTTATTTCTTTTATCTTTTTAATTAAACTTTACTTCATGATATTTATGTGTGTTGATAAACTTTTGTTTACAAATTAATCATTTGCAAAATATTTTGTAAACAAATTGAGGTGCATAAAAAAGTTGTGAGTTTTTTTTGCAAAAACCCATTGACTATATATCATTTAATTGCTAAACATACAAATGTCCCAAAATTTAAAGTCATAGATATTATAAATAAGTTCAACACTACTCAAACCTTCGAAAAAAAACCGAAGAAAAAAAAAGTGAATTAAAGAAAACTTTTGATAAATCCAAAAAGGTAAAGTCAATTTTACGTTCAATAGTAAGAAATCCAAACAGGTTACGGTGAGATCTAGCAAGAAAATTCAAGATTTCACATTCTTATATCAAAAAAGTACTTAAAAATGCTGGAATTAAAAGTACTTAAAGATGCATTTTATAAGAAAAATACACCTAAGAGAAGCTTCAACTGTGAAATTAAAGGAATTCGACACACAAAGAAGTTGGTTAAAATAATGGCGGATAAAAGTATTTGCATTATTGAAGTCAACAAAACATATTGCAAGTTGGATTTTTTACAACTTCATGGTCATCAATTTTACTATGAGAACAAAGATAAACCTGTCGATGATCAATTTAAATATATTCGACGAAAAAAATTTGCATCCAAGTTCCTTTTGTGGCAAGCAATTTGTAGCTGTGGTATGCAGTCCTTTTGTTTTGTTACTAAAAAGACCTTTACTGCCGACCTCTACATCAAAGAATGCTTTTAAAAAAGACTTTTGCCATTTATGAAAAAAAACTAATACCGATATCTCTTTTAGCCAGATCTTGCTGTTTCTCACTGTTCTAATAAAGTTTTACAGTGGTGCAAAGATAATAATGTGAAAGTTGTTTCTAAAGATGCGAATCCTCCAAATTGTCCTGAAGAGCACAAGATTGAAGATTTTTTGGCAAGAGTTAAAGGAGTGCTTCGTAAGACAGGTGGAGTAACAAAAAACAAAAAGGAAAAAAAAAGAAAAATCTGCGAAATGATGGCATCAACCCGCTTTAAAATTTGATTTCTTGCCAAACAGCCTATCAAGCTCCTTGAAATTAAATTAAAACTCTAATTGATGTAAACATATTTAATAATAAAAAAAATTGAAATAAAAAGCACTTATGGTTTTAGAGAAATCTCAATTTAAAGTTGATCGGATTTTTCCGTGTCCACCCGATAATAGAGTTTTGAACTACTTTACAGAAAATAAATTGGTTTGCCCACAGCAATAGAAACCAAACATTTCCACAACTGCTACTTTGGATAATATAGACCACAATCCAAGTTCCACAACAGCTCAGCTGAAGACTCTTTTCACAGAACAGGAATATCGTTATTTCAGCATGGAAAATCAGAGAAAATTGTATCAGATCTTAAAATTTCTACTTAAGAGTTTTCTGAAAAAAAAATAGTTGTCAAACCTTCCTAATTCATAGACTGAGATTTGACCAGTTTTGAATTTTAATGAAAAATATTACAATGCCTGTTTAAATAATCTTATGCATATCATATGTTATATAGTTAATCAAAGATATATATAAACAATTTTTATTTTATATCAGATGGTTGAACCACATTTAAGATGTACCACTATTGAGGGAAAAATCGAAAACAGCTCAAACATAACTTGGTCAGCATTCAATGCATCACAATACAACACACAGCATTCAATGCATCACATTAATGCTGTCAAAGTAATTATTACTTTAATAATAAACTAAACTTTAATAATAAACTAAATAATTCTATATATTCTATTAGATTATATATATTCCAGCAAAACTTGAAAAATTATTTCAAAATTTTTAAATATGTTTTTAGTATGCAAAGAAACATTTCTTCACTTTAACGATAATAAAAAAATTTCATTTTCCAAAGTCTCATATTTTATTGTATTTGTCCCTGCATGCTCTAAAAACTTTTACTTGCCTATTTTTTTTCCTGTTTTTAACCCTTTGGAAATCTTTCCAATCTTTATGTTTTCCTGACTCAAACAAGCTTCAATTTTTTTAGTCTTCTGTCAACTGTTTCCTTGTTCTATAACTCTATTATTTTTTTCTAGTAACTCCCAACTTAATAGTGGTTTTTGCAGCCTTGATGGGAGTGAATCAGAATAAAAAAATAATAAAATAACTTTGACACATTCAAAATCAGAAAGTTCATCACATTTTGCATAATAAAATTTTGATGAAAGAGAATCAAATTTCTGATACATTAGATATTGATTAGACAATGGGCAGAATAATATTAATAGAAAAATATTATAGTTGGTCAACAATAATAACTATATTTGTTGAACTAAGTACTTACCTTAACTTCCAAAGAATAGACCGGTTGGTTTTTATTTAAAAAATTTCTTTCAGCTTCACGTATGTATGGATGTTCATTTGGATTATTAAAAACCAAAAAAAGCCACAAGAAAAACCAAACAATACCAAGAGTACCTGTTTGTTTGCGTTTTAAAAAAAAAAATTTTAAATAAAATATTCAATCAAAATTTATATATATATATATATATATATATATATATATATATATATATATATATATATATATATATATATATATATATATATATATATATATATATATATATATATACATATATATATATATATATGATACATATATATATATATATATATATACATATATATATATATATATATATATATATATATATATATATATATATATATATATATATATATATATATATATATATATATATATATATATATATATATATATATATATATACATATATATATATATATATACATATATATATATATATATATATATATATACATATATATATATATATATATATATATATATATATATATATATATATATATATATATATATATATATACATGTATATATAAATATATACATATATACATATATATATATATATATACATATATACATACATATATATATATATATATATACATATATACATACATATATATATATATATATATATATATATATATATATATATATATATATATATATATATATATATATATATATATATATATATATATATATATATATATATATATATATATATATATATATATATATATATATATATATATATATATATATTTATAAATATAATATCAGGCTTGGTCGGGAAGCGGGAGCGATCGCTCTCGATTGCTGACCACGTAAATAATATTTAGTTGCGAAAAGCTGGCCAGATTTTTTAGTCGTTTTGAGAACATTTTAAAAAGCAAAAAAAAAAAAAAGCGACTAAGATTATTTGGACCGATGAGAGACAATTACAAAAAAAAAAAAAGTAGGCTAATAAAATATCTTTAAACGCGAAAAAACTTTAAGCTAAATAAATTACATTTAGAACAAATATTTACGAAACATCGCTTTTTTATTATAAAATTAAGCGATGTTTTTTATATAAAGTAACAACTTACGATCGTTTAAAAGGGAAACAAATATTCTTTATTTAACTTTTTGCAAGTTTTAGTTTTACTTAAGCTTAATTTATTTTATAAATAAAAAAGTTAATTTTTTTAATACCTATTTTATGTTTCGCGTAGTTTGAAAAGTTTAACATATTTGAAGCGATTCTTCTTAGTAAGATAAACAAATGAAATAATTAAATCATTGAATTACTATAGGAATTAAATTATCAAGATAGAAATCAACTAAAAAGGTTAAAAATACGTAATGACCAGGAAGCGAAACTGCTTTACAATATCGCTGATGATGTTTAGTGAGTGGGTTTTTAATTTTAATTAGTATTTTAAGCAAAAAAAAGTATAACGAGTTTTAAGAATGGCAACTTAAGCGAAAATAATTAGAGTTAGTAAACCAATATCTAGAAACTTTTCTTTATATCTAATTATTTGCAATTATATATTTGTGTTCTGTCGTGACTTCAGGCGCGATGCTTGCTCATCCGCGAGTTACTTTGTATGCGATGTTTGTGTTAAGTAACCAGAAACTTCTTATATGTTTGTTAAATAATTAGTTTTATTAACTTTAACGATTATAACTTCATTGAAAACGCAATTATTTTTGCAAGTCTTTGTTTAAATAATTAAAATTGCTTTAAAAGATACATTATGATAAATAACAAAATTACGTTTACATAAAGAATACAATCTCTTTTAAAATAAGAAATAAGAATATACTAATAAAATCTATGATTTATAATAAACTTTTAAAATTATAACTATTTAATTAATATATATTTAAAACATTTATTTTCGTAAACAAATAATATATTTTCTTAAAATAATACTAGAAATCTCAAAACGTGAATAATACAATTTCTGAAACATTTTAACAGAATACCCTAGAACTTTATTTCGCTTAATCAGCGTATTGTTTGAACCAATAGAATTAGTTTGTTTTTTAATTTGGCGGGTTTTTAGTGTTCGCAAATATTCTTTTTATTCTTTCGCACGAAGATAATTTGAGAACTTTCTAGTTTATTATGTTTCCATGTATGTCCGTAAAACAAAAATTCCTTGTTTTGTACATAAACTTAAATGTTCTTAAAACGATTAAAAAACCTGGCCAGTTTTACGCAACTAAATATAATTTCCGTGGTCAGTATTCGAGAGCGATCGCTCCCGCTTCCCGACCAAGCCTGTAATATATATATATATATATATATATATATATATATATATATATATATATATATATATATATATATATATATATATATATATATATATATATATAATTGTATGTGTAGATGTATATGTGTATATATATATATTTATAT